ATGTTACAGTAAGAAATTGTGTAACTTACAATAATCCCCACTGGCAACTTGACAACTAATCAATATTCAAAAATATATTTAAAAAAAAAAAAAGCTTGTTTTCTTTTTATTTTAATATGAAACTTGTCTTTGCTCGTGACAAAGGTGATGCAGGTTTTTAGCCTGTCTGACATGAGATGCAGGTTGTTTCAAAACAACATTCTTGTGGTCTTGCTTCTTGCAAATCCCGAAAGGCTGTCTGTAAGGGAACTGCACCCAGAAGCTTGCTTCCTGCGCCCCAGAGAAGCGCTGTTTCCATGCAGCGATGCTACGGCTGCGCAGCTGGGAGTTCACAGAACCACAGATTCGTGATGTTATGTTAACGATGAAATCAAATAATACTCTGTTTCTCTGTTTACCAGTTACCTGATGTATGTTATTCATGGTGGGTTCTGGCGTCTCTGAAGATGATTGGTAGGTTACATTGGATTGACAGAGAGAAACTGCGCTGCTTTATTTTGGCTTGCCAGGACGAGGAGACTGGAGGATTTGCTGACAGACCAGGAGATATGGTAAATAACCTTCAGTTATGTCAAGCTTGCGTAATAGAAATTCTCAACTTGGAAAGTATGTTTCATGTTTGCATGTAAGAAGTGATCCAGATACTGGTGTTCTGCAAACTGCAGCATCTGCAGCTTGGAAGGAACAAGGTACCATTGCTTTGAAGGCTCACATAGGAAGCACGTGCAGTGTTGCAGCTGACTTCAGTGTGGGATTCTGTCCCCATAATGCAAACCACACTGCTTCTCATAAGACTGCATGGAAGATAGAGGTGAAAAAACTGGCAGTTCAATAATTTGCAGGCATTTTGAGGTTATCACAAGTTAAATAGTCTTCAAATCTCTTGGTGCTTTTGTCTGGTCTGAATAATTCTTGAGTAAATGCTCAGAACCGTTGCCCACCACTGCATAAATCTTCTCACGGCCTTGGTGTAAATGAGGAGGAAGCTTTTCTGACAGTGTTATGAAGAGGCTGGTGGTATTAATTTTCCCCTTGACTGAGAGAGCAGTTACAGTCTAGTTGTTGTATTCTCTATGGTTTGAAGCATAAGTAATTGATACTGTTCAGGGTTCTGGTCAAATAAATATATTATATGATCTTGGTGCAAATACCTTTAAACACGTGGCCGCTTATTTGTGAAAGGTTGGAAAATGGTGGCTCTAACACCTAAGGACAAGGCTGGTTATGGCAGTGTACTTGTAACCATTCAGGCTGGGATCTAGTCGTTGGATTTCATGTATGTGGCTATAACATGATGATCCAGCTCAGTTTACTGCAGTGTAGAACCTCTGTGAAAAGACTTAGAAATTCCAGTAATACAAACAGGATGTATGCTGCCCCAGGTAATTTTGGGTAGGATTTTGTAGAATGCATGACTAAGTTCAGTGACGGGATGTACGTGCCGTAAGAATTTAAAGTCTGCTGCAGACATGTGATGATACAGGCTTTCAGGGGAAATTTGTAAAGTGTACCAGTAAAAAAGAATTTGATATAAAATAAGCAGTGATCTCTTCTGTTTCTTTTCTTGTTCTTTTGTTTTTACTTCTCGTTTTAACAGTAGGCTGTTGCTCTCCTCGTAAGGTTGTACAGTACAGCTCTTTATTCAGAGACCATTAAGCAGCAGCATACTGTTGCTGAAGAGCCAAATGGGGAAGTGATATACTTGTGGATGATCACGTTAGCCTACTAATGTTATTTCTGTAATTGCTTCTGTTGTCTCATGACACTGTATGGAAGTGGAGATGAATGCTTTTCTGAGTGGATTATATGCTGTAAGTTCATGCTGTGGGAGTTGCCTTGCCTGTGGGCTTACACAAGCTCAAAAGCACAAATGGAAGTTCTTGCAGTTGCAGTGTTATCTTGAGCTACACCGGTTGTATTTCTCTTGGTAACAAACAGAAGCTTCCATACCAGTGCAAACTGATTGTTCTTCTGGAAATGAACACTGTCTTTCTGTCTTCCAGGTGGATCCATTTCACACTTTGTTTGGAATTGCTGGACTATCCTTACTTGGGGAAGAACAAATTAAGGCTGTCAATCCTGTCTTCTGTATGCCAGAAGATGTCCTTCGAAGAATAAATGTACAGCCTGAGCTTGTGAGCTGAATCTCATGGAGACAGCAAATTGATAGACCCTCTTGGTTTGCTTTTACTGATTGGAAGTCATCTTTGAAGCTTGGAATATTCTTAATATTCTTCTTTGAGATGTGTTTACATTACTACAGTAAAGCAGTAGCTTTACAGTGGGCTTTGTCACTTTGTGAACTGTATTGTAACTGGCTTGTTGTAGTATTCTGAGTGTAATATGTTCTTTGGTTGTACATAAGAGATGTAGAAACATTTCTAATCTGTATCTAAAGATATAGGCTTTTTTTTTTTTAATAACCAAGTTGCAGCAGTAGTGTGACTAGCTTAATTTTTTCTATTCCTGCAGTGTCAGCCGTGGTAGCGCCTGTCTTTATGCAAACGTGTTCTGATGGTGTCTCACGCACAGCACTTCAGAAGAATACAGGAAGAAGAACCACCCTACTTAAGCCGTGCACTTAATGCCAAACGCTTGTCTGTGTAATTCTGGCTGTTTTCACTTCTATATACTCAGATGCAAGCAATTTCTTTTCATAGTAATTGTTAGCAGTAAAAGCGACAAAAAATATGATTCTATTAAAGACAGGAATGTACTCCTACTACTGCAAAAGTTCCTTTTGACGAAATTCCCCTGATAATTGAAACGGAGCATACCTTGAGTGTATCTGCACTGAAAATTGCTGATGTTAATCATTATAGAGAAATTCTTCATAGGAAAGCGACTTGCAGCTGAATATAGTGCTGACTGTGAATTTATTGCTGGACTGGAATTCTGGCTTTGCAGCTTTTAAGACAAAAATTGCCAGCACTTCATTATGCTGTAGTTGAGAGTTAAATTAGCTGTGGAAAACACTCATCTGAAAGATGAAATCCTTTTGTCTTGACAGAAGCCCTAAAATTGCATGTTTCTTCACATCCTCCTGCACACTGCCTGAAACTGAATTTCACAGTAAAATGTGGTTGAGAGGGGGAAGAAGTTATTTGGTAATTGCTGTATGTATGCTTAAAGAAAGTCTAAAACTGTTTCAACACTTCTGATCACCAGCAGCTTAGTTTTATCCAACCTATTCATCCTAGTAGAGAATAAGGAGAATAAGGTGCAGCAACTTCTTGGGAAATTCAGAGACTGAAGGCTCAAATACTGTGTTTGGGATTTTTTGGTTTTTTTGAACCTGTATTTCTCTGGAGGCTTTTGGATGATTTAAAAAAGAATAATCATAGTGGTTCCCTTCTAATGGCTCAGTTTCCTGGTGAATTATTTGGTCAAAGCCTGGAATTTGTTTTTTCAAGGTTTGGAATTAAGGCTGACTTTTTGTTGAGTATGGGGGAATGAGAGCACTGATTAGGTTTTATTTATTTGTAAAAAATACATAGAAAGTTAAAAATTAAGAAGAAATAACCTCACATCCGGGTTGCCTTTGTAAGTGCTGCTTCTTTATTCAGAGCTGCACTCCCCAGGACGTAGGCATTTGCTGCTTTTTCTGTGTTATGTAAACATAACAATACGGTTCAGAATTTCTAGTTTACTATAGACTGTGAGACATTCTGGGAATTAAAATGTGGGTGACGGTACACGAGAGAATAGAACACAGCAGGCTGAAATCCTGTTCATGTTATTGAAACTTGTCAGAAGGAGGTCTGGTCACCTTATTTTTTTTAAGTCAGCTGTAGTTGATAAAGACCACGTTATACAGATTGCGGGCTGAAAATGAATGAATGTGTGTCCAAACGAAACACTTCTTAAATTTTTTCTTCCGTTCTTTACCTCTTAACTTATTATAGATATTGTGTATATATACAAAAAATCATCACTGTTTTTTGTCATGCGAACGAAATCAATTCTTTTCAATGTACTGTGGAAAAAAATTAGTTGGCCCATGTGCATATATTAAAACACTTCAATATGAGATTTTGGTGCAGAGTGCGTTGTTGTAAGTCCGTCTGTGTTTCTTCTCAGTGTTTCTCTTTTTTTCCCCTGAATTTTATGTACTTGCTATGTTGCAATAATTAACCTCATAGTCTTCAGTTACTGGTCCTTTATTAAAGGCTTTCAGAAGTTTGTACTTCTTTATCTGTGCAGTTCTAAAGGTGTCCTGTCTGTGGCAGCCTGGTTAGACAAAGTCTGCATTATGATTTATGGACGTAAGAAATGGGGGTCATTGGGAAGATGCAGCTTTTGTTTCTGCTTTTCTGTCTGTGCGCTTAGATTTGTGTCTGAAGAGGTGTGACAAACGCCACCTTCAGTGTCTCAAGTTCAGCACAGGACTTAGTTAAGGCAACAGCAGCTGTGGAATTGGAGTTCTCCATCCATTGCAGTGAAGCTCAAGTTTCAGACACCCGCGTTCTCAGAACAGTGCCTGGTGGAGGCTCGGTGCTGAGGCGCTCGCCCCTCTGCGCTGGGCCGCGGGGCAGTGGAGCGGCGCTGACAGCTGCTGCCGATTGCCGCATGGGGGCTGAGCAGCCTGCCTGCAGCGTGACGGCCGCGTCCTCTGCTCGGTGTGGTTTTAGGTAAGTGAATTAGAAGCGCCGTGATGATGTTTTGTTTAAATGAAAGCTTCCATGGCGGTAGCACCTGCTGGCACCCAAACCGACCTGTGTGCTCTTGAACTTAAAGCAACGTCTGGATGCAAGACCTGCTGTGTGTGTTTTTAATTAACGGTTTCTGTTAGCTCTGCAGGTCATGCCGCCTCAGAATTCCTGCTAAAAACAGCCTCTGGTTGTCAAGTCAGCTGAAGAAGCACGTTGGACAAATGACGCCTTGGTGCCCTCCCGTTGTCCTAGGAGGCACAGCAGCCCGCCGTCATCTCGGCGCCACACGCGAACGGCGCCGCCGCCTCGGCGGGAAACCTCTGGGCGGCGGCTGGGGCCAGGTGAGAATTGTGCGCATGCGCGGCCGCGCTGAGGTCAGCGCCATTTTCAGCCGTAGCGGCAGCGGGTCGCTTTGCGTGGCTGAGGTCGTGATGTCGAACGGCAGTAGTAAGATGGAAGCGTGCGGGCGAGCGGTCGCCTCGGCCGCCTCAGAGTCCTACACGGGCCGCTGCTCCTCCTCTCTGTCAGGGTTGGGCGGGCGCTACACGCTGGGCCTGCTGCAGACGCCGCGCAGCACTGAGGACAGCACGGGCGGCTCGTCCGGCGGCGGGGCGGGGCTCGCTCCCTTCAGGGCTGCCGGCAGGAAGGAGCCGCCGCGCTCCGGAAGGGGAGGTAGGGAGCGGCGTGGCCGTCTGCGTTCGGGTCGGTGCCGCTCCTGCTGCCCTCGGCTTGCCGAGCTGCGGTACCGCAGTCTGGTCGGCGGGCGGAGGCGGAGCGCCGTCTCTTCGTGCCAGCCGTCTGTTTGTTTTGGTTCGGCTCGTCAGAATGACGGCGTTCCTCGGGTTTCTTAAAATAAATGCTGCTTTTGCCTGACGTTGTGGATAATTGGCGCGTGAAGTCACTTGGCTGATCTGAAAAGCCCCGCAGCGCTGTAGCAGCTCCAGCTGGCTCTGCTCGCAGGCCCGGCCCCGCGCTCCATCCGCGCGGTGCTGGCAGGGCGCTGCGATCAGCGCAGTACTGCCGGCCTTGAATTGGCAGACTGGAAACAGTGGCTGGGGTTGGTTGGTTGGTTTCTTTGTTTGTTTTTCCTCTTCAGTGAAACTACTATAGCAGTAACAATGGGACGCTTGTTGAAATGTCTTGTGAAGTACGCGCGTTCCTGTTAGGTGTAAATTGCGATGCAAGGTGTGTGTGTGCTTCGCTAAGAGGTACGCGGTCAGTCTTGAATCCAAGACAAAGGAAAGCTTGCAATACCAACCTGAGCAAAGCGTAACTTAATTGTTGAGTTTTTATTGTTGAAATAAAAGATGCTGATGGTTTGGTTCCTCTGGTCTTTGAAAAGCAGTTATCCAGGCTGTATTAAGGATTTCATGTTTTTACTCATCTTGAGAGCACTTGAGATACTAAAGTTAGTATCTCAATTATTAGATTAGCAAAATACTAATTACTAAAGAAATTACTAATTTACTGAATTTAAGAGTGATCTGAGGAAAAAAGCATTTTGCCACATTTAAAAAAAAAAGGTAAATCTTACAGTATATCTGTAGAGAAAATAAGAGATAACATAACAAACACGTTTCAGATTACTGTGTCATTTCTGAGGGTTGAACCTCATAAAATCAAAGGGAGATCATGTTCATGTGGAGGGTATTTTTGAGCACAGTTCTTTGCACTTTTGCTGCTGTTTTCTAAAAGGGAATGTGCATGTTCAAAAAAATACTATTGTGACCTTTTCAAACTTTGAAATTTTCATAAACATAAGTATGTAGTTTCAGCTATGTATTTTAAAGCCAATAGGAAAATGCAAGGTGGAGCTGTCTGTTATAGCATTTTTTCATAGATCTGGAACTCATAGCATAAAAATTATGCGTAGTAAAATTATTTCAGTTATATTGTTTCAGTCCAGCAAATTAACTGGAGATTTACTGCAAGTAAAGTCATTATGGAAAGTAACTGTCAATACAGGCTGGTTTTCGAAACAAACTCATTGTTATTTCAGGCCGGTACTGCTGTAGAGAAGGATATTGGGGGTGGATTGGTGGAACATCTCTACTTCTAGTACAAAATACAAGGTTTTCTAAGATGTGTATGTGCTGCTTTCAAAACAGAAACTGACTCTTTTTTCCTTCCCTTTCCGTTCAGAATCATATCTTGGGGACAAAAGTTCCTGTGCAGAAAATGGGAGTGCAGCGAATTTCACAAGTGGTTGTTCTGCACGAGGCCTCAGTAACACTTCTGTGGGAAAAATACCCTTTTCTACCAGTAGATCTATTGGCAGAAGCCATACCCCCGTTCCTGGATATTCAGGTAAATTGACGGTGCTTAAGGGAAATGGTTCAATATATATCTCTAACATTTCATTAAACGTACTTTATTTTTTCACGTGCTTATAGTGTGATAATGAAAGATAAATCATAGTTGTTTTTATACCTAAGCAGCCTAGATCCAAGGGAGGCTGTCTCTTCAGTGGCTGGCCCTTATGTGAGCCCGGAGTGGCTCCAGCCTGGATCCAGCCTTCTGGTCACACCGCTTCACCAGGTGCCTAAACAGCAGTTCAAGCTGCGACCTAACAGTGCTCCTGCCTTTGATAAGAAACGCTGTTCACATGGTTTCTTTTTAGGCTTATAAAGCATTGTACATCATTGTAAGATATTATTCAGTTAACATCAGTGTCTCAAAGTTTGCTGGGGACGCAGATGGACTTGTTCAAGTTCAGGCAAGTCCTGGGCAAGGATTGTGAAATCCTTTGTTTGGGGGACACAGATGGACAAGGCCAGGGGCAAGGAGAGAGAGATGAGCTGCAGCTAAATGGCTGTGAAGTGCTCCTCTGTGTGACTTATCTCAGGATGACAAATCTCCATCTCAGGGGCGCTCAATGACTCTTGCTCAAGACCCATCCTTTTCACTTGGGCAGAAGAACAAGTAGGATAAAAGGGGAATCGAAAACCATGAGGATAGGTTTTCTGGCAACAGATTCCTCATGAAGAAGAGCAAGGATTTCTGACTAACGGGCTCCTCACGAAGTGATGCCTGCATGCTGCCGAGCTCTCCTGGGCTGCTGCCTGAGCGCTGCTGCTTCCTCCCGCATGGCTCCGCGTCTGCCTCCTGCTGCCTGCTTGCTGCTCCCCGCTGCTGCTCCTGCCTTGGACCTTCAAACGCCGTGCAGCAGGACGCTGCTGGATCCTGGTGGTAACCGTCCTCCCTTACGCAATTCTTGCTCTTTCCTATCTTTTCTATCGCCCTCCTTCCCTTCCCGTCTCCCTGATTAGGATTTGTGACAAACTGGTTGGACCAGCGTATGAACCGTTGTTTCTCAGTCTCGTGGTGGATATACAGATATTAAAAGAACCTCCTCTCCCTCCAATAAATTGCAGCGAGACAATCATGTATCATGAAGTAATTGGAATTTCTTGTGAGTTTCTTATGCGTTTTACGTTGTTGTTTTCAAAGGTGTAGGTGAGTTGATCCTTAAACAACACCCAGTAGCTCACTGGGTGAAGTTTTGCACTGCTGCTTACCAGCAAAGCCATCTTACAGGTTAATGTTGTCTTGTGTCATTTTGTGTTTTCTGGTAGTGCTAAAGTAGTAATATTCAAAGTCCATCTTTTCAGTCTGAGTTAAGCTCTGTCAGTTCTGCTTTCAGTGATCCTAATGTTATTTAATGGTAATTCTCTAAACTAGTTACTTAAAGATTGATTCTTAAAAACATCCGTATTTCAATTAAAAAAAAAATCCTGATAAGACTACGAATTGACTCTCTACCTGAAACTGAATTGAATTCTTTGATTGCAGAAAGTGAGCTAATATGAAGTTTGTCATTTCTTACAGCTGTTGCGATCCCCTGTTTTCTTTTTGACTACTCTAGGAATTGGGGTGTCTATAACTTGGAAACCCATGGACAGGATTTTTCTAACCTCTACATGTCCTAGCAATTAAAACCATATTTTTCATCTCCTTTTAGTCTACAAGTGTACGTGTGTTTGTTTCCATGTGTCTGTATGGTTATTTACACTTGCTGAGTTGTATGTGGAACTCTGGTCAGTTTCGTTTGTATTGAAGACAGCATATCCAGCATACCATATTATGAACAACATTGGTTGATCATTGCATCTTTTTAAATTTTATTTTTGTGTGTGTAGCAAACTATACAAGTAACCATCATCAAAATCAAAATTGTCTAACGACTGTAACCTAAGTTAAAATCATTATTATCATCACCACCTCTTAGTTGCTGTTTAAAAAAAAAAAAAAAGGTAATCAGCTACTGATAAGGGGGGGAATCATGGACTGTCCTGGGTAGATCAATCAGAGTAACAATCAGGTTTTCAAAGCAGGTCTTAGATGAATGTCATGTCAATATGTGAATGTCATTGCTGGCATCCATCAAACATAGAGTAAATGAAAGTTCAGACTCAGCTGTGTGCAGTATCAAAGACTGTTTTCTTAATGCTTAGGTAGCAGTTAGCTGGAGATCGAATTCTCTCTTTCTGGACAAATGTTTTTATTTAATTCTGGTTGCTTTTTGAGATTCCTGGTGGGGTTAGTTTTGGTTTTGGGGATGCATATTGAGTGTATCCAAAAGGAAATGGCAAGTTTGGTGTATTATGCCTTCTTGACAGAACTGTTCTGAGAACATTTGTATTCCAGTCTTATTTGAGACCTGATTCCCTTTTGAGGAAAGTAGTGCTGGAAAAGAATACAAATAATTACATGAAACGAAAAGAGATTTTGGTATTTCAGGTTGTATATGCTGTCAAAATCCAATACTGAAGAACTTGTTCAACTCAGCTGCTGTAAGGTTTAGTTTGACTCGTGTGTGAAGGTTAAGAAGCTTGAGATCATGAAGTGACTCTATTTCTGGAGTGGTGATTGTTTTAGTATTGCTCAGCAAGTTGCATTGTAGCATTAAAAATTTATTTCAGTTTCTTATTGGCTACTTCAGTGAAATTAATAGGTAATCGTTCTCTGCATTTGTTCTCAACAGAAATTCACATACAGATATGGATGTCTGCCTTATTTCTGCAGTGTTTGTCTTCTCATTTGAATAGCCTACACTCACAATCTGGGGCTGCAAATTTTGGAACAAAGTGTTGTTAGTAGCTTCTTCAGAAAGATTTGAAGAATGTAACACCAAAACTAGCAGAGATGCCAAAGGAAGCACTATATCCATAATTTTGGTGTTTCATTGGTTAAAAAGTTCAGTACCCCGGAGAAAAAGGTCTCACCCTGGTTAATTAATCTCTTCTGTGGGAAGTGCAGTGATCTAACAATTAATAGTGCTTCCAGGTAATACAGTGTAATGCTTTATATGGGGGCTCAGTAAGTGCTGCCTGAGGCGTATCGTTGCAGATCAGTACGACAGATGCCCTAAGAAAATCAGGGCAGAATTGTGAGGGTCAGACAAAGTGAGCTGACTGCTTATCCCCCAGTTCTGACTGCAGATGAAAACTCATCTCCACCTGTCCTCCTTATTGCCTTGCTGTGTCTAGGTTTTAGGCACTGAAAACAGTAGTGCTAGAAAGATAGAGAGAGGTGCATTATTAGTTTCTAAAATCAGTGCTCTTCAAAGTTCAGTACCATACGAGGAGGTTTGGGAGGAACAAGGAATGTGTTGAACTTTGGCACCAGTCAATTACACTACAGTAATAACTGAACAAAAAAACACCTTCACAATCCTCAGTTTGCTCGTTCTGTCACAGCTTGTCCAAGCTTGGAATGTCAAAGTATGATTTTGTGAATATAAAGAAGTGGGTTATAACTGAATATGTGCAACTGTTCTACAGTTACGTCGTCATCTACAGCCTCTGCTCATACTGCTGCATCAGTTATTGTAGCTGTGGTAGAAGGAAGAGGCCTTGCCAGAGGGGAAGTAGGAATGGCCAGCATTGACTTAAAGAATCCTGAGGTGATACTGTCCCAGTTTGCAGACAATACGACTTACGCCAAGGTATTGTTGCATAGTGAACTGCTGCATAGCTGACAGCTGGGTGCAGTGGATTGCTTGCTTGAGTAATCAGGAATGGAAGATTCAGTTTCTAGGAAAAAAATCTAAAAAGGGGAAGTAAGAATCTCTAGAAAATTTGAAGTATTTGTTGAAGGAGCTGCTATTTCCTGTGCTGTGCCTCAGATTTCAGGGGAGGAGGAAAGAATGCTTTGCAAAACAGAAAACGCGTTTCTGCAAAGAATGGTGCGTTTGAACTGTGTGAAACTCAGATGCCTTGCACTGCAGAGCATTAGAGGGAATGCATGGTAGGAGAATTTGCAAGTATTTTTCATTAGGCAAAACATCTTTGAGAGTGGCACTTCACAAGGGTGACTTTTATTTGTTTTAGGCAGACTGTATCTTGAGATTTGTGTAGTTGTGTGAATATTCTCAGTTATTGCCAAACAAAATGTATTCAGCTGACAGTAAAGTGTTCTGTCCACCATTGCTGCATATTTTAAGATCAGGAAAGTAATCTATCTGGTTGATGCAGTTCTAATATTAATAAAACTGCTTTCTTAACAGTTTTGTTGTGGCTATGTGTGCTAGGAAGCAGTGTAGCTTGCAGTGTATTTACAATATTCAGACTTAGAAAAACTAGATTTTGTTAGTATGGTAAGTAGATACGACTAGGAATATAAACGACTGCTGAATCTATTTACTAAAATTTCTAATATTGTCAGGTGTTTGTGGGTTTTCTTCTTTTGCATTTTATTTTTTATCTAATTTTTTATTTTTACCATTAGTTAATTTAAGGCTTATCTTGGTCTCAGCAGGCACAAGAGCTTATGGAACCTGGCAGATGTGAATACTTCTGTCATGCAGAGTAGTAGGATTCAAAGTGGCTGTGGTTTGAGAGTGCAGGTGTGAGAGAGGTTAGGCATTCAGATGGTGATGTGACCCATGAGGGCTCACTTGAAAGTTTGTGAGGGAAAAGTGAAGACCACGGATTGAACATTGAACAAGGCGTTTGTTTTCTCACACTGCCAAGTACTCACAGAACCGTGGTGTCCCACGTTGTGAGGGACGCTGAGCTTCGGACACAAACGTGTTTTTGTATTTAAATAACTGCTTAAATAAAAGATAACTTCTATTTTTTTAAAATAGTTTTGTGTATTTGTATCTATATAGCTGCAGATCTATTTAGCTGACCAGTGTATAAGCATAAAGTATGGTCATTATTTACAAGATAAACTGTGATTTTAAAATATAAGAATTCCATAATTCTTTATTCCTGATACGTCATAGTGTACAGCTCTTTTAGATATGGATTTGTATTGAATTACTCAAGATTTTTTTTTCTTTTTCAGGTTATTACTAAACTGAAAATTTTAACACCTCTGGAAATAATAATGCCAAACACTTCTTGTGAAGCAGGGAACACAACAAAATTGTTTGCTTTAATAACAGAACATTTCAAAGTAAGCTCTTAAATTTTATTCTGCATTTTAGAGCTCTTGTTAATTGCATCTGTATGATTGTTAAGTCTTCTACAACTTCTGAAGCTTTAAATGCAGTCAGATCTTGTGTGTTTTCTGTGATTTCTGGCCCTTTGTTTTTACTGTGGTGCAGGAGATCCCATTGCAGCTCCAGCATGACTCGTTCTGGTGCGGAAAATTACGGAGACAAATATATGAGCTAATTAAAGCAGACAGTTTTGAGCTTGGCTCATTGAAGTCATGTGCTGAAGCCAGTTGGTGGACTTTCTTGGGAGCAAAGATCCTAGCAAAAATAGAGAAGTCTGTCTGATGAAAAAATTATGTGACTTCAAATTATTTGCTTTTTTCCTCTGTCTTCCCAGAATGTGACGTTTACAACTGTCCAAAGGAAATACTTCAATGAAACAAAGGGTTTGGAGTATATAGAGCAATTGTGTGCGTCTGAATTCAGCACTGTTTTCATGGAGATTCAATCAAAGTATGTCGATAAGGAAAAACCATACCATGTCCAGATAAGTTTTTAACAGCTTCATACATGCTCAGTACAAAAGCCAGTGGCTTGTTGCATTTTTTCAGAAGTTAAGAAGTTCTTAACATAACTGCTTATTTTGCCTTCAGGTATTTCTGAGGTACCCAGAAACTTAAAGATTTCAGTGGGTTTTTAGAACTTTCCACTTCCCTCTTTTCACTCTCTTCTTAAATAGGCAATTTACAAGCTATGAATGCCTTCCAGTTTGACCTCTGCGAAAGATTTCCTTGTACCAGCAGTTTTCTGTGTACGTTGTGCAGAGTCTTCACTTAAGTCACATGTAACCACAGAAACACGCACGCACGCGGTACATGATGTGGGACATCAGGGGTACAGAGACCCAGATATTCACAACCACTTGATTTCAGTGATCATACTGTACACATTGTATGCTTGTATCCTGGGGTGCATTAAAAGGAGTGTGGCCAGCAGGTTGAAGGAAGCGATCCTCACCCTCTACTCTGCCCTGATGAGGCCACATTTAGAATACTTTTAGTTCCAGGCTTCCTCCCCAGTTCAAAAAGACAAGGATCTCTTAAAACGAGCCCAGGGGAGGCCACAAAGGTGAAGCAGGGCCTGGAGCAATCTCCCATGTGAAGAAAGGCCGAGTAACCTGTGTCTGTTCAGCCTGGAGAAAAGAAAACTGAGGGGGGAGGATCTGATAGATGTTTATAAATTTCTAAAGAGAGGTGGGAAGCAAATGGATGAAGCCAGGCTCTTGGTGGTGGTGCATAGTGATAGGACAAGGAGTAGTGGCCTAGAACTTGAGCATAAGAATTTCTGTACTAACATGCAGGAGAACTTCTTTATGCTAAGGGGGACAGAGCGGTGGAAGAGGTTTTCTAGGCAGTGGAGTCCCCTTTTATGGAGGTGACTTATTGTAGGGCACCTGCTTTATTTTAGCAGGGGGTTGGACTCAATGATCTCTTGAGGTTCTTTCCAACCCCTGCAGTCCTGTGATTCTTAGATGTTTGTGCATTTGTTAAAAATACTGCTTTTTCAGTGCTCTCAATCCCAGTAGCTGTCAAGCAGCAAGTGTCAGGTGTTAAATGTGATTTCTTTGGTATACCACTTGATTTTTGGTAACTAAGTAGCACTATTCAACATTCATTAAAGATTATTTCTTTCCAAGGTACTACTGTCTTGCAGCTGCTGCAGCTTTGCTGAAATATGTCGAGTTTATTCAGAACTCCATTTATGCTCCAAAGTCACTCAAGGTCCATTTCCAGGGGAGTGAGAAAACAGCTATGATAGATTCATCGTCAGCCCAAAATCTGGAACTGGTAACAAATAACAGGGATTCTCGGTAAGGGCGTTAAGATTGCAGCACCTAAATCAAGTTTTTCTCATAAGTGTGTTTTACTGAAAATTACCCAATTTGCATTTGATTTCAGATAATAATATTTGTCCTTTTGCATGGCTTGTGTGCTAATTCAGATAGCTCAGTTGAGAGGAAAAGTGTGAACTGCAGTAGCAATGGAGTAATCCTAAAAAGATGAGCATGTTCTGAATGCAAGGGAGTTTCTAAGTTTTGATAAATGATAAAATGGTGGCTAATACTATATAAAACTGCATCTGACTTGGTAAACTGCTGTAGTTCATAAAATACACATGGCAGGTAGGAAGGTGCTGAGTACTCTGAAAGCATGCCTTGAATTTGCTGGATGCTTTTCCTGGAAATGTCGTTTGCTGTTTTCCATCATTATTTTTATGAATGCATTCTTCTTGTATGTTTTGTTCTAACAGGAATGGACACACACTTTTTGGTGTCCTAAATTACACTAAAACTCCAGGGGGAAGTCGAAGACTCAGATCCAATATCCTGGAGCCACTTGTTGATGCTGAAACAATTAAAACAAGACTGGATTGCGTTCAGGAATTTCTCCAGGATGAGGAGCTGTTTTTCGGTCTTCAAGCAGGTAGTAATTTATTGTTTGATACTTAATATGCTTCTCCTTTTTAAGCTCTTTTTTCTAGTTTGTGACTGTGCAGTCTGATTCAGTGTGTTTGAAAAGTATTTTCTTAGGATCGTCAGCAGACATTTCTGTAGCGGCCATTCATAACTTTTGAAGCCAGCTTTATTGTGATACTGTGACTTTTTTTTTTTTAAGTATATTTTGCAAAAAAAGTGAACTTACAAAGTAGATAAAAGTCAGTAAGCCAGTAGCTTTCTCATGTAATTGGAGGTTAGCTCTTGCGGCTTGATACAGTTTTGGAAGTGGTTTATTTGTTAAAAACAAATTAAGGCCTTGTTTATGTTTTTGTTTTCTTTTCCTTTGCCTCCTAAAACGTAATGGTCCAGACAAATATGAAAATAATACAGTCCCAGAGAGTACGAGTTAGGCTGCCTGAAGGCGTATTGTGTGAGCTTAATCCTTATCACAAGAGAAACACGGAGGAGGAATTATTGGCAGTCTTGCACATTTGAGGTTTTCTTTTCCTCTATTTTTATTTCTATTCTTCCTTTGACAGTTAGACTGTTCTTACTTGTAGTTGTTCTCTAGCTCATATATACTTTGGAAGTTGCTCTAGGAACAAAAACATTACTGAAGTGATAAATGTCCCCCTGTACGATAATCACTGTGTCTTGGATACAGTAAGTATTGTGCCTAAATAACCTAGCAGATCTTTCTGTCTTTCGTTGTGTTTTTTTCTGGTAAATAGGAAGCTAGGATAAAAACAAATGGATTAGCATAAATATTAATAAATAATTGTGTACATTAAAAAATGAAAGAAGTGCAGGTTGTTAATATGATTTCCTTGAAATTTGTTACATTTCTGAGCTGGTTACTTTTGTTTTACAGTTATCTCCAAATTCCTGGATACAGAACAACTGCTTTCAATTCTGGTACAAATTCCGAAGCAAGATACAGTATGTTCCGAAACACACTTAAGCATAATGAGTTATCTGCACATTACAGGCAAAACATAAAATATGTGTCTATATCTAAAAATCTATAAGCAAAGGCTGCACTTACAGATTCATGGACTAATGTTATCACAGATTGTGAGTACATCGTGTTTTACTACAGGATAAGATTCTTAAAGGTGAATGCTATTTGGGTTTGCTGTAGTATGTCACCATAATGGAAGCAATTTGAACTTCAGAAGAGTTTGATTTCCTCATCTCTGCCCAGATTCCTTCTCACAGAAGCATACCCTTGATAATCACAGAATCAGCATGGTTTGGGTTGGAAGGGACCTTTATGATCATCTAGTTCCAACCCACCTGGTATAGGTGGAGATACCTCCCTCTAGACCATAATGATAGGATGTAAGGAGTTTTCATATATCTGTAATGTAACTTTTAGAGGTTAATACAGTTTTTGGTAGCCTGACGAAAATTGTGCATCTTCCTTACATGAAATTAAAATATCTCGTAGTTTACATGTGATATTACTTAATGGAAATTACTCTTCATAGCCTAAGAAATACCTTTGGAAAAGCTTCTTAAGAAGCACTTGGACTTGGCTTTGCTGTGTTTATAATGCAAAGATACAGATATATCTTCATCTGTTTACTAAATTGCGTAAAGCTCCAGAGACAGAAATAGGAATTAGTTTCCAAGGTACAGGGATAGCACGAGCTAAGTGCAACTTTTTCATTGGGAAGGTGAGTGTTGTCCTCTGAGCAGCAGCCAGCTGACAGAACACAAGGTGCTTGGTTACATTGTGTGAGTGGTACTACATGAGGTGGGGGGTCCCCTTGGCACCGACTGTGCCAATGTGCAAAGAACCTTAAATGCTCAGGCATGTGTATATATGTGAGAAAGAGGAGACCTCAATTCTGAATGGTGTCTTAAAATCCTGCCTGCCTCCAGTTCTCAGTTTGACTGATACTTTTTTGTTAGCCTTTGAATGGAAGGCATAGTGAGTCAGCGTATTGGAGAGCTTTGTTCCCTTTTGTCAGTGTGTGATGTGGCGTTGGTAATTTCCCAGGAAATAAAATTAATCTAGGGCTGATCTGCTGCCATAGCACTTAAATCTGTGGCACTTAAATCTCTAGTACAAAAAAAAAAAAAGCCAGCTGTTTCTCTGCATCTTTGTGTATATGACATGGGAACTTAGTGTGAGATGTTTCAAAAGATAGGTTTGCACTTTCTCCATGAATGTTGAATCCTAAAAGAACTACCATTATCCAAAATGGTTAGCCATCATGGTTATAGGCATTCATTTTCTTCCTTTGACCATGACGTGCATCAAGTATAGAGCTACACTAATAACACTAGTTCTAGTAAAGCTCCTGCAAGCACTGTGTTAGAAAAGGAATGTTTCATTATGAAATATCAGCTCTTCATAAACTTCTGTGCATCTCCTTTTGATGGTTGATTCCATCGTGGGACCTGCGCTCCATGTTTTCTGAGATCATCACTCCTCTGTTAGCATATTTAGTATTGCTTTAATCCTCTTCTTCTTTTAGAGAAAACAACTTTGCATAGATGGTAAGAATCGAAGAATCATTTGGGTTGGAAAAGACCATTAAGACCACTCCAGGTGTTCACCTATGAGATAAAGCAATAGATGCCCTCCACCACAAGGTTACAGTTTGTGTTATGAATGCATGAGAAGAAATTTCACTGGAGGCCTTACTTACGCATTCGTGTTTAAAAATTGACACTGGATTTAGTTTGGAACCAAACAGTGTGTTTATCAATTTCTAAAGTTCCTCTCATGTAAGGAGAGAGATCCTTTTCTTCTTTTTCAGAGCACTACCTTCTCATGCTGGTAGAGTGAAACACGTAAGAATTCATGGCTTTTTATCTTAGATTTCTCTTTTGATCCATCTTCAGAGGCTCTTTCACATACTATTTGATGGTAACAGTAGGGAAATCAGCAAGTGTGCATTTCCATGAAGGAAATAATGATACTAATTTTCACAGTAACTGCTGTTACTCACGTTATATTGTGTCTGTATGCATGTGAAAATCCTGCGCACACGTATTATCCCATGAGAGTATGAGAGTAATTTTCATGTATGTATATATATATATATATATATATGTTTACCAACACACAGATGCACTGTGCATGTACTTTTTTCTGCTTCCTTTTGTAAGATATCAGGATTATCCTATCCTTTATTTCTCTCATCTGGAATTACAAGAGCATGCAGTGCAGTGTGTATTATATACGCTAATGGCAACAGCAAAATTCTTTATTAGAAATGTAGTGGGACAGGGATACAAAATAAGTTACAGAATGTGGTCTAAAACTTTTGAAGAGCAAACAGAGCGTTTAGCATTTACTGCCTTTTATTTATTGACTTTAACATTATGTGTACGTATGCCGAAGGACTGTCAGAGCAGATTAGATTGGGCGCTGTTTAACAGTGTTTATGGAAAGGACTGAGCACCTTAATTGTGATATGTTGTGTAGTGGCTTTGAAAAAGTCTGTACTGATAACGTAGAAGACTAAAGGAAGCTTCCACAGCTTGTTTTAGCAGTTATTCTCAGAGCTGATCGTTATCTGTGCAGCCATAAGAAAAGGGCCACTTACTGCTGGGCAGCTGACTGCAGCTGGCAATACAATTTCTGTAAACATTTTTATGCAGTTGCACACCAAGCTGTCAGCGTGAGCTTATGAAGTATTTCAGCAGTTTTCACTAGAAGTTATCAGTACAAACCTTTAGAGTTGCTAGTTACATACTTTCCTTAAATAAGCATTCAAACACTTCCTGTATTTGTAAAAATTCCTCAACAGGTTAAAACTGCTGAATCAAAAATAACTAATATAATCTATCTGAAGCATACCCTGGAGCTTGTGGAGCCTCTGAAAGTAAGATATGTCTGTCATTTTTTTGGGTGTGAAGTAAAAGCAGTTAGTCCTTCCCACTTGGCGCATCTCATGAGATTTACCACTGATCTCACAGAGCGCAGTACTGCCAGCAGAGTCTGTTCTAACTTTCTGCCAAATGAAAAACAATTATGTGAGCCAGTATTCCTAAGAACTGGATTCTTACGTTATCTAACAAATATTGAACTGAAACTCCCACTCAGGTTCTGCAGGCTGCTTAAGCAACCACTGATAAGCTTTGATGGATTTAAGACCTTCTGGTCCTTTAA